ACCTTCTCGCTCTCTGCAGCTCCCTGCCAGGAGGGTGCAGTGAGGGGGGGTTGGGCTCTGCTCCCAAATAACCACCAAGTAATGAGAGGCAATGGCCTCAAGTTGCATCAGGGGAGGTTCAGATTGGATATTGCAAAAAGTTTCTTCACCAAAAGGGTCATCAAGCCCTGGCCCAGGCTGCCCAGGGCAGTGGGGGAGTCCCCATCCCTGGAGGGGTTCAAACACCGTCTGGATGTGGCCCTTGGGGACATGGTTTAGCAGGCCTGGGGGTGTTGGGGTGACGGTTGGACTTGGTGACCTCAGAGGTCTTTCCCACCCTGGATGGTTCTGTGATTTGGAGCGTGTTGGCTCTGGTTGTGCCGTGAGGTTTCCCCGGCCTTTGCCGTGGGAACCTGCCCGGAGCTGGAGAGCGGTTGGTCTCAAGCCTGGGAGCCTTGGGCGAGGATGGATGTTCCTGGCGCTCCCCTTCCTGGAAAGAAAAGCGCTGGAGGGAGGACGGAGGCAGATTTCTTGGCTCCCCTGGTTATTATTTGCCTCTAGAGAGGATTTTTCCTGCTGGGCTCTGTCGCAGAGGCTCTTACAACATCTCCCATCTGCAGGACGGCTGCCAGGCTGCTGCCGGTGATCCAAGCGCTGGAGGGAGGACGGAGGCAGATTTCTTGGCTCCCCTGGTTATTATTTGCCTCTAGAGAGGATTTTTCCTGCTGGGCTCTGTCGCAGAGGCTCTTACAACATCTCCCATCTGCAGGACGGCTGCCAGGCTGCTGCCGGTGATCCAGCGCGAAGCGCTCGCTAGGTTTTCCCAGAGTAATTCTCCGTGGGTGGCATCAGATGTTAACATAAAATTCCTGGCTTTTCCAGCTTGGTTATGCCCTGGATCTCTGACGTTGGCTCAGTTTGCCTCTTCCAGCAGCTGCCAGATCTTCCTGGTAAAGCCCATCTCGGTCCGTGGCGCTGAATTCTTTGCGGTTTTAAATGCCGGTGGATATTGAGGAGATTGGCTGGGCCAGGGATTCCTTCTCGCTCAGATCGTTGGGAAACGACGGCCAAAACTGAGCTCCTGACTCCGCAGCGCGCTTCGCTCTCTCCAGTTCAAGAAGGATGAAGAGCTACTGGAGAGAGCCCAGCGCAGGGCTACAAGGATGGTGAGGGGACTGGAGCATCT